CATCCTTTGTCGAGATCACCTGTTTGTGCAGACCCAAATGCTCTCTGTTCAAGTCGGTGATGTTATCTCACACGAGCAATTGCCCAGTGACATCACCCTGATTCCCAGTTATTTCCTAAACTATGGGTTTCCTCTGATCCCAATGCTTCTGATATCTTCTGAACTGCAGACTCCAGCATTTGATTTTAAAGTTGAACACAATGAAATTATTTCAATGTTTTTAACCAGTAATCTACACAATTCACCTTCTCATGTTCTTCTCAGTTATCTGACTCTGGGACTAATGCGACTCATTTTGTCACCCCCTCGTTATGTGGCTTGTGTCAAGAGCTGCTTTATAACACGCGACATTGTTCTGGTCCATCTCTGCTCTCCCTGATCAACTTGATCATTTTAATCTGCTATGTCTCCTATAATGTGTGTAACTGTCTTATTTTATTGTTACTTCCATTGACTCTCTCATGAGGTTTTTACAGCTGAACGTTGCCTGACCACTTGCTGCTGGCAATTATCTTCCCTTAATAGGTCCCACAAGACTGTTAGGTAATGAGTTATTCACCAAGTGATGATGAAGGAACTGTGATATGTCTAAATCAATGGCAATTAATTTATATCAATATTGCACCCTTCACACAGTGGAAACTTCCAATCTGTTCGTCGAGAGTGCTGTAATGCAACTTTTATGATGTTATAATGTAGCAGGAAGTCCCTCTACCTCCCCCCTAACTTCCATCCAAGGCACCAAACAAACCTTTCACATCAGACGAGGTTCACCTGTTCACCTGTCAATGTGGTCGATTGCATCCGCTGCTTCCGATGTGGCCTCCCCTACATCGTTGAGACCAAGCGGAGGCTCGGAGACCGGTTTGTAGAGCACCTACGCTCTTTGCGACAAATGACAACACCTTCTGGTCGCGAACCATTTCAACACCCCCTCCCACTCCCTGGGTGACATGTCCACCCTGGGCTGCCTCCAGTTTCACAATGACATCACCCGGAAACTGTATGAGCAGCATCTCATATTCTGCCTTAGGAGCCTACCAACTAATGGTCTCAATGTGGACTTCACCAGTTTCAAAATCTCCCCACCCCTGGCCTCATCCCTCTCATCCCCACCTCCTTGACCTGATACAACCTGTCCATCTTCTCTCCCAACTATCTGTTCCTCCCACCCCACTGACCAATCCCCACCATTGCCTAGCTGGACTCATCTCTCCCCATCCCACCTCCCTTCCCCAGCCCCACCCCTCCTCTCTCTTTCTTTCACTGCTCCCTTCCCCCTCCCCCATTTCTGAAGAAGGGCGCCGACCCAAAATATCAACATTCTGCTCCTCTGCTGCTCAGCCTGCTGTGTTCCTCCAGCTCCACAATGTGTTATCTCTGACTCCAGCATCAGCAGTTCTTACTATCTCTTGATTTCAATGCCTGGACTCTAATGAAGGCTCCTGACTCGAAATATCGACTTTCTTGCTCCTCTGATGCTGCCTGACCTGCTGTGTTCTCTCCAGCTCTAAACTGTATGGACACTTCTTTCAACCTTGTTTGGTATTTTGTTGTTATTTCTGCCAATTGTGTCTAAATGAGGTTTCTGATCCTACCCATCTCTGGTTACATGCTGCTAATTTCCCAGCTTTATCTTCCCACGGTCAGGAATTGTTTGTTTTGCACTGGAGATCATTTCTGTTTCTGAGCTAATTTTGGCAATCAAATACTTGGCAATCTCATCAATATCTGTGATTTAAACACAATCTTCTTCGTTTATAACCTCCACTCTCACCGATTCACAGACGCCCATAAGGGATATATTAAACAGAAAATAAAATTAATGTAAATTTTTCAGTTCAATTAAACAGTTTCAAACAATTGATATCAAGTCTTTGTGCAAGCCTTGGATAATGAGTTGTCCACGGACACATGAAACTTTAGCAAACTTCCAAGTCAGCAGTGAATGTAACAGTTTCAGCAAGCTTCCATAAATATTATCTTACTTCCTATGTTGCATTCCTCAGACCATTCAACAATTTGATAACTGGATAGAAATTGAGAGACAGAGCAGCCAGTCCAAAAGCTTTCAAAATCACTGCCCCTCCTTGACCTTTTTGAACTGCTGCAGTCCGTGTGGTGAAGCCCTGCCCAGATTGCTGTTTGGTAAGGAGTTTCAGGATTTTCATTCAGTGGTAATAAGGTAGTGCTGATATCTGTATTAATTACAGTCATTTTGTTTTAATATCCCACTATGAACAGAATAGAAACATGGAAAATAGGAACAGAAGTAGGCCATTTTGTCATTTGATCCTGCTCCCCTATTCAGTATGATCATGGCTGATCTTTCAACGAGTAGCCTGTTCTCACTTTAGACCCACATCCTTTGATTGCTTTAGTCCTCAGAACTATAACTGTGTTCCTCTTGGAAACATCCAATGTTTTAGCTTTAACTGCTTTCTGTGGAAGGACATTCCACAAGCTCACCAGTCTCAGAAAAGAAATTTTCCATCATCTCAGTCCTAAACAGCATACTCTATATCCTTAAACTGTGACTCCCTGGTTCTGCACTCCCTCATCAACCTCCTTCCTGTATTTAACTTGTTCATCCTATTAGAATTGTATTGGTTTTCTGTGAGATCTTCTCATGTTCTTCTGAACCCCAGTGAACTTCATCCTGTCTGATCTATTCTGTCATAATACGTCGGTCCTGCCATCCCAGGATTCAGTCTGGTAAACCTTAATTGGACAGCTTCCATAGCCAGAACATTCTTAGTCACAGAAGTATTCCAAAACTGCACACAAGGCTCCAGGTGTGGTCTGACTAAGACCCTGTACAATTTCAGCAAGTCATCCCTGTTTCTGTTCTCAAATCCTTTCGCTATGAAGGCCAACCTAGCATTTCCTGCCTCTACCTGCATGCTTACTTTGAGTGACTTGTGTCCAAGGACAAACAGGTCTCAGTTCTTGTTTCTCATTTCCCTTTTCTAAATCCAAGCTGACTGACTCTGACTTTGTCTAATCCTGTTACTGTTTTCCAGTGTTGGGCTAACCGGTCTATAAGTCCATGTTTTCTCTCTCCCTCCTTTTTTTTACATAGTGGGCTTACATTAGCTCCCCTCCAATCCATGGGAACTGTTCCAGAGTCTATTGCATTATGAAAGATGACCATTAATTTCCTCAATTTAGATTCAAGCCCCTAGTTTCAGATTGCATCCACTATCTCTCCTGCCACTTTGTTAACTACTCTGGGGCGTATATTATGAGGTGCTGGGATTTGTTGGCTTTTAATCCCATCAATTTCCCCAACATTATTTCCCTACTAATACTGATTTCCTCACTTCCTCCCTGTCATGTGATCCCCAGCATTTTAGTGATATTATTTATATCATCATTTGTGATGGCAGAACCAAAATATATAGTTAATTGGTCCGTCCATTGCTTTATTCCACATTATAACTTCCCCTGTTTCTGATCGTAAGGGACTTGTTTTCATTATTTTTTTTTTTTCTCTTCATATCTCTTTTGGAGCTTTTACAATTAGTTTGTATGTTTCCTACAAGTTTACCCTGAGACTTTATTTTCCCCTTCTTAGACAATCCCTTAGTCCTCTTTTGCTGAAATCTGATATGCTCCCTGTCTTCAGGTCTGCTGCTCTCCTTAGCCAATTTTTACACGTCTTCCTTGGATCTGGTACTATCCCTAATATCCCTGGTTAGCCATGGCAGGGTCGCCTTTCCCATTCTTTATTTTGTGCCAGACAGGAATGAACAATAGTTGCAGTTCCTCCAAGTGCTCTCTAAATATTTGTCAACCCCCTTAAAGCTTAAGTTCCTCAAGTTATTGTAGCCTGCATGCACCTCTTAACACTGTAATTTCCTCTCTTTAGATTTTGGTCCCCAGTCTCAGAATCATCTGTCACTCTCCATCTTCATGAACAGTTCTATCATGAAGAAGTCTTCACTTTTCCACAGCTAGATTGCCAATTAATCCATTCTCATTACACAATTAAAATTTTGAAATAAAGTTGCTGTGGTCCCAGAAGATCATCAGACTGTTCTGTTTGTAGAGAGAGAGAGACGACTAATGGTGCTTTAACCTCAGGGTTACCGTGCCTCAGTCAATGGGCAAGGTTAAGATGGTGGAACCTTTACGGTGACCTCAGCTAGTACAGGAAGTGAGCACGTGCTGCTGGTGTCACTCTGTATTACAAACCAGCTGTCCAGCCAACTGAGCTTACCCAGCTCTGATTATTACACAATACACCATTGAGGATGGTCTGTCCTCTCTTTGGGTACTCAATATGTTGATCGAGAAAACCATCTCTTTCACAACCCAGGAATTTCTCCTGTATGGTATTGTTGCTGATTCAATTTGTTCAACCTATATGCAGATTGAAGTCATCCATAATAACCATAAGAGCACAAGACAGAGGAGCAGAATTAGGCATTTCGGCCCACTAAGACTGCTCCACAATTTGTTTGTGACTGATGTGTTTCTCACACCCATTCTCCTGCCTTGTCCTGTTGGTCCCCTTACCAATCAAGAACCTATTTATCCCAGTCACAAGTACACTCAATTTCTTGGCCCCCACAACCTTCTATGACACTGAGTTCCACGGAATCACCACCCTCTGGCTGAAGAAATTCTTCTTCTCCGTTCTAAAGGGTCATCCCTTTGCTGAGAGCGGTGCCCTCAGGTTCGAGTCTCTTCTGCTAGTCGAAACATCTCCATGTGCATCTATCCAGTCCTCTCAGTATTCTGGTCGTTTCAATCACAGAGTCATAGAGTCTGACAGCATGGAAGCAGACCCATTGGTCCAACCAGTCCATGCTGACCATGTTCGAAAACTAATGTAGTCCCATCTGCCTGCACATTGTCTATGTCTCTCTGAACATTTCTTATTTACATATTATCCAAACGTCTTTTAAATGTTGTAAACTGTACCTGTACCCACCACTTCCTCTGGAAGTTCATTCCACGCAACAACCACACTCTGCAAAAAAAAAAAAAGGTTGTCCCTCGTGCCTTTTCTCAATCTTTCATCTGTCACCTTAAAAATATGCCCCCAGTCTTGAAATCCCCCACCCGAGGGAAAAGACATCTGCTATTCACCTTCTCTATACTCCTCAAGGGCAGGACTTAAACAATTAATGGTAGGGCCCTGGGTAGTGTTGTACCTAGGTACCTTTGTACCGGAGATGGTGCCACAAGTGGCAACTTGTAAACTTTTCTCTGTACTTATGTGAGTACGTTTGACAATAAATGTTATTCCATTCGATTTAAAAATATGCTTCCCGGTCTTGAAATCTCCACACCGGAGAAAGGACACCTGAATTTCACAAACCTCTATAACGTCAACCTCAACATGCTATATTCCTGTGAAAGGAGACCCAGCCCCTCCTTATGACTCAATCCCTCCATTCTCAGCAACATCCCAGTAAACCACCTTTGAACTCTTTCCAGCTTAATAATATCCTTGCTATAACAGGACAACCAGAATTGGACACAGTCCTGCAGAAGAGGCCTTACCAACGGACTGTACGACCTCAACATGATGTCCCAACTTCTCTGCACAATGGTCTGAGCAATGAAGGTAAGCATACTAAACACACAAATTTCAAAGAATTCGTTAACTAAAGCCTAAAGTCTCTGTGGTCTACAATACGCAAGGGTCTACCTTTAATTGTATAAGTCCTGCATCCCTTGTTTGTTTTAGTACAGTACAGTACCTCACATTTATTCAAGTTAAACTCCATCTGCCACATAGCCCACAGACCCAATTGATTAAGATCTCTTTGAAATCTTAGGTAACCTTCTTCACTGTCCACAATGCCACCAATTTTGGTGTCATCCGCAAAGGTATTAACCATACCTTGTGTATTCTCATCAAAATCATTTGTATAAATGTCAAACAAAAGTAGACCCAATACCAATCCCTGCAGAACCCCACTGGTCGTTGCTGAACACCAGGCCTCCAGTCCAAAAAACAACCCTCCACTGCCATAGCCTGTCTTGTGACATTAGGCAAATTTTTTATCCAACTGGCAAACTCACCCTAGATCCCATGTAAGCTAACTTTACTGATTAGTCTACCTTGTGGAACCTTGTCAAGAGCTTTACGAAAGTCCAGGTAAACAATACTTAATGCTCTGCCCTCATCGATCATCTTGGTTACTTCATCAAAATCTCAATCGAATGTGTGAGACACTATTTCCACTACATCCCTTGCATAAAACCATGCTGAAAATCCATAACCATTCCTTGCCTCTCCAAATGCTATCTTCCACAATCGCCTCCAACAACTTATCCACCACCAAAGTCAGACTCACATGCCTATAGTTCACAGGCTTCTCCTTACATCCCTTAAATGAAGGCACAACATTAGCCACTCTTCAGTCATCTGGCACCTCACCCGTAAATATTTGTGCAAGCATCCCCACATTTTCTCTTTAACTTTCCACAACACGTTGGGATGCACTAGACAGGTCGTAAGATTTAGAGTCATAGAGTAATACAGCATGCAAAAAAGCCTTTTTCCCAAACTGGTCCATGCTGGCTATGGTATCCATTAAGCTAGTTCCAACTGCTGGATTTGGTCCGCTTCCCTCTCAACCCTTCCCATCCATGTACCTGTCCAAATGTATTTTAAATGCTGCTATTGTACCAGCCTCAACCACTTTCCCTAGCAGCCCATTCCATACATGCACCACTCTGTGCAGGAAGAAGTTACCCCTCAGGTCCTTCTTAAATCTTTCCCCTTTCACCTTAAACCTATGACCTCGCGTTTTCAATTCCCCATCCCCGAGATAAAGCCGATATGCATTCATCCTATCTTTGCCCCTCATGATTTTAGACCCCTCAATAAACTCACTCCCTCATTCTCCTACATTCCAAGGAATAATGTCCTCCCCTGACCAACCTGTCCCTACAATTTGGGCCTACTCGTCCTGGTAACATCGTAGTAAATCTTCTTTGCACACTTTCCAGTTTAACTATGTCTTTCTTGTGACAGGGTGACCAAAACCATACACAGTATTCCAGTGCAGCCTCACCAATGACTTATACACCTGTAACATAATGTCCCAACACCTATACTCAATGCCTCAACCGATGAAGGCCAGCATGCTAAATGCCTTCTCCTCCACCCTTGTCACCTGTGACACCACTTTCAATGAACCATGTACTTGTTCTCCTAGGTCCCTCCGTTCCACAACAATCCTCAGGACCTTACCATTTACTGTATAAGTCCTACATTGGTTTGACTTTCCAAAGTGCAGCACCTCACACTTATCTGTATTGAATTGCATTTGCCAACCCTCAGCCTACTTCCCCAACTGATCGAGATCAATTTTCTGATAATCTTCCCCTCTCAATACCTACTAATTTTGTATCATCCACCAACTTAATAATCATCCCTGCATATTCACATCCAGATGATTTATGTAAATAACAAATAACAAAGGTCCCAGCACTGACCCCTGTGGCACACCACAGGCTTCCAGTCTGAGAAGTAACCTTCAACCATCACCCTCTGCTTCCTACCATTGAGCCAGTTTCGAATCAATTCACTAGCTCTCCCTGGATCCCATGCGACCTAAACTGCATGACTCGACTGCGTGCAGGATCTTGTTAAAAGCCTGATTAAAGTCCACATAGTTGAGATCACTGCCGTACCCTCACCTGTGCTCTTGGTTTCCTCTCAGAAAAAGTCTGAAAGATTTGTCAGACGTGACTTCCCGTGCACAAACCCATCCTGACAATCCTTAATCGGACCTTGACTATCCAAATGTTGGTTGATCCTGTCCCTCAGTATCCTCTCCAATAACTTGCCTACCACTGCTGTCAGGCTCACTGGCCTGCAGTTCCCTGGCATGTCTTTGCTACCTTTCTTTAAACAATGGATGGTGGCTAATGTTGTTCCAGTCTCCTGGAACTTCACCAGTGGCTAAAGTTGAAGCAAAAATCTCTACAAAGGGCTCTGCAATTTGTTCCCTCGCCTCCCACAGTGTCTGAGGACGGATTTGATCAGGCCCAGGGGATTTATCCACCTTCATGTCCTTTAAGGCTGCAAACACCACCTCTCTGAGAATAAGTATGTGGTCCAAAACATCCCCGCTTGTTGCCCGTATTTCCGTAGCGTCCATGATTCTCTCGTCACTAAACACTGAGGAGAAATATTTATTTAACAATCCTCCCCCATCTTCTGTGCCACAGGATATCCATCTTTATATTTTAGAAGACGTCCATGTGAACTGTTTTCAAAACACACTATTTCTTTCCCTGAATTCTCCAACATCCACTTCTTTCTCCACCATAAAAACTGATGCAAAATATTAATATCTCTTTAATATTTCTGTCATCTCCTGAGGTTCAACGCCGAGATGACCTCTTCAATCTTTAAAGAGCCATGCTCGCACTCTAGTTGCTTTCTTGCTCTTAAAGCACTTGTAGTATATCTTTGCATTATCCGTCACCTTATCTATCAAGGCAATTTCATATCCCCTCCTGCCTTCCTGATCTCCCACTTAAGAATGCCTGTACAATGTTTATACTGTTCAAAAGATTCATTTAAACCCAGTTGTTTGTATCTAATTGATGATGAGTTTTTTATTCTTGACTAAAAGCTGAATATCCTTTTCATCCATTGTTGTCTAATTCTACCAGCCTGACCTTTCACTCTGACAAGAACATAATGATTCTGAACTCTTGTTACCATGCTTCTGAAAACCTCCCACTTATCAGATGACCCTTTACCTGCAGTCTACTCCATTCAACTTTTGAAAGTTCTTGTCGCATACCATTAAAATTGGCCTTATTCCAATTAAATACTTTCACCTTTTCTGGAAGGCTTATTCTTTTCCATAACTGTTTTAAGACTGACAGAATTATTATCACCAGACCCAAAGTACTCCTGTACAGTCACTTCTGTCACTTACTGTGCCTTATTACCAAAGAGAAGCTCAAGTTTTCTCTTTCTCTTTAGTAGGAACATTGACTTATTGATAAAGAAAATATTCTTGAACTCAGTTAACAAATTATTCACCATCCAAACCTTTAGCAGTTCCAGTCAATGTTTAGAAAATTAAAACACCGATTCCTGCAACCTTTTCATTCTTTCATATATCTGAGATCTCTCTACGTATTTGTTCCTCAATTTCCCCCGACTAATGAGGGACCCATAGTACAATACCACCACATGATCATTCCTTTCTTATTTCTGATTTCAACCCATACGTTTTCACTGGACATTTTATTTTTTTCAGAAATATCTTTTCTAGTTGCTGCATATTTTCCCCAATAAAAAAAAAAGCCACTCCCTCAGTTCTTTTGCCTCCCTTTCTATCCTTCCTACGGCTTATGAAACCCGAAACATTAGTATGGGCAAAATATCTTGCATGGCGTATAATGTAGGAAAATGTGAAATCATTCACTTTAGCAGGAAGCAGAAACGAGAGCAGAATATTCCTTAAATGGTGAATCACTGCTGAATTCTGAGATGTGGAGGATAAAGTATGAGTTACAAAGTTAGTATGCAGATATAGCATGTAACCATGGTGTCATACAGCACGGAAACGGACCCAATGGTCCAACTATTCCATTCTGACCATAATCCCAAACTAAACTAGTCCCATCTTCCTGCATTTGGCCCACATCACTCCAAACCTTTTGAATTTGTGTACTTATCTAAATCTCTTTTAAACATTGTAACTGTAACTGTACCTGCACCGACCATTTCATCTGGCAGTTCATTCCACCCACCTGAGCGCACTCTATTTTAAAGAAAAGAAAAGTTACCCCTCATGTCATTTTTTAAATCTTTCTTCTCTCACCGTAAAAAATATGCCCCCGACTTTTGAACTCATCCATCTGAGGGATAAGACCTTTGCTGTTCACCTTATCTAAGCCTCTCGTGCTTTTATAAACCTCTTTCAGGTTACGCCTCAACCTCCTACCTTCCGGTGAATGAAGTCCCAGCCTATCCAGCCTATTTTTACAACTCAAACCCTTCTTTCCCAGTAATATCCTTTTTTTTTTTTTCTGAACCCACTCCAGTTTAATAATATCCTTCCAATGACGGGACTACCAGAATGGCACACAGTATTCCAGGAGAGTCCTCACCAACATTCTTTACAACCTCCAACATGACGTCCTAACTCCTGTACTCAAAGACCTGAGCAATGAAGACAAGTGTGCTGAATGCCTTCTTAACCACCCTGTCCACCTGTGAAACAAATTTCAAAGACTAATGTATCTGAAAGCCGAGGTTCTCTGTTCTGTAATAGTACCCAGGGCCCTACTATTAATTGTATAAGTCCTGCCCATGTGAAGTATTCCATTTTGGATAAAACAAACATTTATTCAAATAAAGTTCAATCTGCCACTCTTTTTAGCCCATTGACCCAATTGAGCAAGATCTCGGTCTAATCCAGAAAGCCAATAGGCTGTATGCTTTATTATCACAGGAATTAAACATCAATGTGAGGATGTTCTGCTTCATTTGTACAGGGAAGGGAAGAGACCAAATCTCAAATACCACGTGCAGGTTTTGGTCGTCTGGACGCTTATTCGAAGTGGTTCAGAAAAGGTTTACTAGATTGAAACCTGGAATAAGTGGGTTGTCTAAGGAGGATAGGTTGGGCAGGTGAAATGGAATAGGATTGGGCTAGAACTGCTGACTAAAACAGTAAAGTAATATGATGTGAGCCAGGATATAGGGTGTGGTGAAGTAGAATCTCTATGGGTTGATCTCAGAAACGCCAATGGACAGAAAATGATATTAGTGTTGTATATAGAACGCAAGCTACAGTAATATTGGGAAGGCATTCGAATGGAATTTAGAGATACAAGGCATAAGGTTATGGCTGTAATTATAGGTGACTTCAACCTACATATAAATTGAGCAGATAGCATCAGTAGCAATAAGATAGAGGAGGAATTCTTAGCGTGTATATGGTACAATTTTACGTTGAGAAAGCAGATGAGTATTGGGTAGTGAGAAAGAAACAATTGACAATCGAGTTGAACGTGGGTTCTGAAGGAAGAGTGACCACAACAGGCTAGAATTCATCATTAGATTGGAGTGTGATGTCGTTGTTTCTGAGACGAGAGTCCTGTAATTAAATAAAAGAAGTCAGAATGGTATGAGGCGTGAGCCAGTTGTGATAAATTGTGGATCACAATTTAAATGGATGATGGGAGATGGGTAATGGCAAACATTGAAAGAGGACGTGGACAAGCTGTGGCATAAAAATAAAATCGAAACATGGTCAAACCATGGCAGAGAAAGAGAAATGAACGGGTATTAAATTTAAGGAAGCAGCACACAAATTGGATAAATAAAACAACAGACCGAAGGATTGGGAACAGTTTAGATTTCAGCAAAGGGAGACAAAGGGATTTAATTAGAGGGAGAAAATAGAATCTGAGAGTACTCTTGCATGGACCATAAAACCAACGGCATTTTTTAAAATAGACATACACAGGATGTGGACATTGCGAACTCGGTCAGAATTTATTGCACATCCCTGATTGCCCAGAGTTAACTGTATTGCAGTGGGGGTGGAGTCACGTATAGGCCAGACTGGGTAAGGATGACAGTTTCTTTCCCTAATGGATAATAGTGAGCCAGATGGGTGTTTCCGAACAATCAACAACGGTTTCATGATTGTCATTAAACTCTTAATTGAAGATTGATAATCCAAGATTAGTCAAGAAAAATGTAGGGTCTCCTTACAATCAAACAGGGAATTTATAATGGAGTGCAAAGTGATGACAGACCAATTAAATATATCTTAGATTTTCAAAAAGGGGCACACAAATAATGTCCCAAAATTAAGGGGATCACAGGGTCTAATTGGAAGGTGGAATTGTAAGAAATTGGGAAAACTAATGAGATAACAGGCAGATAAATCCCCAGAGATTGATAACTTTCATCTCCGAGTACCTTAGGAAGTGGCCTTAGAAATCGCAGCTGCGCTTGTGGTTATACTCCAAAATACTGTACAGTCGCAGAGTTCTGATGGTTTGGAGGGTAGTTAACATAACCCCAGTATTTAAGAAGGGAGTCAGAGAGAAAACACGGAATTTGCATAACATTGTTGGTGGGGGAAAAAATGTTCGAGTCCGCTATAAAAGATGGGATAGCAGACTACTTAGATGATAGTGACAAAATTAGACAGAGTCAGCCGAGGCTTTTTCTGTGCTGTAGGTCTCTGAGACTGGATGTTGGGCATGAATTCCCTCCCAGCCACTCACCATCCTTACTTGGAAATATATCACTATTCCTTCAGTATTGCTGGGTCGAAATCCTGAATTCCCTCCCTAACAGCATTGTGGGTCCACTTGCAGCTCATGGAGTACAGTGGTTCACGAAAGCAGATCACTACCACCCTCTCAATGACAACTGGATGGATTAGCTAGCAATGCCCACAGAAATAAAGGAAAAAAAACATTATCAAGGCCAATTGGGAATGTGGAATTGAAGCCTAAATAGATGAGCTTTGACCTTTTTGAGGCTCGAGGGGCATAATGGACAACTCTATTTCATATGTTCTTTTCTCCTTCTATCAAAATGCCTCATCTCACCAAAAATTGTGTATTCCCTGGAAATTAAAAGGATGTTAATTGAAGCTGGGTAGGGGGATAGAATGGAACTAATATACCGAGTAGGTGAAGTTGAGCTCAAACACCCTCCTGACCCCCAGTAATCAGACAAGATTTGTGTTTCTTTGTTCTCCGATTCATTTGAGCATATGAGTGAGGAACAAGTGTAGGCCACTCGGCCCTTTGAGCCTGCTCTGAGATTCAATAAGGTCACGGCTGATCTGATTTCAACCTCAACTCTGTGTCTGCATATCCCTGAATATCTTTCATCATCTTGGTCATCAAGAATCTGTCTGCTTCTGCCTTAAAAAAAAGTTTAACGATTCTTCAACCACTGCCTTTTGACAAAGTGAGTTACAAAGATTCACAACCCTCTCAGAAAAAGGAAATGTTCCTCACCATTTCAAATGGATTCACCCTTACCTTTAAACAATGACCATCAGTTCTAGATTCTCCCACCAGAGGGACCATGTTTTCAATATCCACGTGGTCGGCTCCGCTCAATATCTTTCATGTTTCAATTTAGTCTCCTCTTTCTTTTCTGGACTCGAGAGGATCTCGGCCCAGCCTGTCCACCCTTTCCCCATTAGGCACTCGAATCATTCTAGGTATTAGTCCATTAAATCTTCTTTGAAATGTTTCCAATGTGTTAACAACTTTCTGTAAGTACGGTGACTAGAACTGAACACAGTACTCCAAATGCAAGTCTCACCAGTACAAAGGGGGACCGCGTGAGACTGAAGGTGGCCCATGAATTCCCACTTGTTTACAGTAATGCTTTTCAGCAAACTCAGGTCATTTACATTTATCCAAGTACAGGCTGACACAGGTTATGGTCAGACAGTTGTACAGTTTATATTGTTACACAGACAGCGTTGTTGTGGTATCACTCAAACCTCCCACTCTGATGGACATGCAGAAATAATGACTGGCTCAGTAGCCAGTTCCCGTAGCCTGATTTGCCCTGTATTTTTCTTCATCTGTCCTTTCAAGGACATTAATGATCCAGGTGGGTTTTTCTAACAATCCAGAAGCTTTCATTCCACTTTTGACTGTTTTTAAATTTATTTTCTAGGGAATTGGAAAGGATTTACAGACAGGCAGCTCAAGTCAAAAATTGGATCAACAGCTGCCAGTAACACTTAATTCTCGAGAGCTTTGAACGTGGAAGAAAAAAGCATCGTTCACAGTGAAGAGAAACCATACAGGTGGTCTGTGTGGACAAGCTTTCAGTCAATTGTCTGGCCTGTCGATACCTAAATGCAGTCAAAACAGGATGACAACAATGACATCAAGCAGCACTTGCTTTGCAATCTCACAGTGATGGATCTCAGTTTGAGTTAAGCAAGGGCCACTCATCTCCTGATCTCCTTACATTTTTGGTGCAAACATGGACCAAACAGCTGAATTCCAAATGAGTGTGACTTTCCTGCCATCTTAAGGCTCTATTTGACAGAGCATTTTATCAAGGAATCATAGCAAAACTAGAGTCAACGGGATTCAGAGAATATTATTCTCGCTTTGATTGTGGGTTTTTGAAAAGATTGCGTCTTCAGACCTGAATAGATCAAAACAAGGTGAATTTATTCGAGCTTGTACCACATATTTGCGGAAGAGGTCTCCTAGTCTAGCTTGGAGATACTCTACCATTTACAGCTCAAAACAGCATATTGAGACGTTTTCATGTCAGGATGGTTGTATATAACATTGGCATAAAATAAATTAGATAAGTCATTTACTACAAAAACAGGATGCTGTTCAGTTTCTTACAAAGTCCTGAGTCCTCTCATTTCAACAGGTCTTCTATTTCCATGTTATTTTCAGAGTTTCTCTGTCCCTACCATCAGCTCACAGCACGCAAGCCTTTCTTTGTGAGTCATACTTAAGTGAGTATTTTTAGCCAGTGACTGCTGATGGTTCACTGTTATAGATATGCATTTAAACTGCCTGAGATGAAGTAACTGTCATTACATGGTTGTATTTGACTCTTAGCCCTATGCTGTACTGTTCGTCCAAGCTTATCTCCCACTTGTTCTGTGTTTTAATACTCCACTCCTTTCCTTTTATATTCCCCTTTACACTCTCCTATCCTCCTTGCCCGACTTCACCTTAGTTGGATAATACTGAATACAGAGGAAGGTGCTTGTGGTTGGTTAGAGGCCAGCTATCTCAGCTTCAGAAATTCCTCAGCATTAGTTTCTGGTCCCAAGCACCTTCAGCTGTTTCATCAATGTCCTTCCCTGCGTCATAAGGTCAGAAGTGGATATGTTTGTCAATGATTGCACAATGTTTAGCACCATTTGTGACTCAGCTACTGTAGTGGTAGATATTTAAATGCAGTGTCCCTGGACAACATTGAAGTTAGCCTGCTCCATGACAAAGAACATTTGCACCAAGTCCCAACAACTAATGACCAAATCTGAGAAATAAAAATCTAACCATAACTCATTGACATTCAATGGTTTTATCTTCACTGAATTGCCCACTATCATCATCCTGGGGTGCTAGTAGTGATGAGAAACTGAACTGGGTGTGATATTTAAATATTGTGCCTACAAAAGTAGGTCAGAGGGAAAAGATTCTATAGTGATTAGTTCAACTCATGACTCCCCAAAGCCTGTGCATCATTAAGAATGTCTGTCATTAAGAACACTGTCAATTTGCTTGGATGGATGCAGCTCCAATGACACCAAGAAACCGGACACCATCCAAGACAATGCAGTCCATTCAACTGGTGCCCCATTCAGTACTTTCAGCATTTGTTCCCTTCATTCCTGAGGTACAGTGGCAGCAGAGTGCACTATCTACCAAATGCCCTGCAGTTACTCACTGACTCTCCTTTGAAAGCACTTTCCAAGCCTGCAAGCTCTTACCACCCTGAAGGACAAGAGCATAGAATGCATCAAAACAACACAATCTGCAAGTTCTCCTCCAGGGAGCATACCATCCTGACTTGGAGCAGTATCAATAATGATCTCATTGGGTGGTGCAGTGAACTTGACTGGCCAAAAAGCCTGTTGCTGCCCTGGATCTTCTATCATGATTTTTTTTTTTTAAAAGGTTAACTAACACAATGACCAGACTTGTGCTCAGTCTTCCAGCTGTTCTCTGAACTGGTGTTAGCTAAAGCTGTCGCATCAACCTCCTGATCTTATATTCCAGCCTGTGGTCGAGAACAGAACGTATCCCAAAACCCTCTTGATCACGTGATTGTCCTGTCCAACCACCTTCAGGAATCTGTGAATGTCCACACAAAGGTGTCTTTGTTCCTCTACACCACTCAGCATCCCCACTTCCATTGTTCACTCTCCCTGAATTCATTATGAATCTCTTTGGATTGAATTCCGTTCATCATTTTTTCTTTCCACCTGATTGATCTCTCCCTGCAGTCCCAAGCTTTGTTCCGCGTGGTGAACTACATCACACATTGTTGCGTGTCGTCTGAAAACTTCTAAATTATGCCCCATACAACTCGGTTTTAATTATTGATCTACATCAGACAACAATGGAACTCCCCTGGAAAAATCAGAAACAAATAAAAAACAGAAATTGCTGGAAAAACTGAACAGAATTGGCAGCATCTGCGGAGAGAAATCAAAGATAACATTTCAAGTCGAGTGACCCTCAGAACTCCACTGGAAAGTCATCCAGACATGGTTCTTTCCTGGTTGGGATTAACAGCAAAATCTAACCCCTACTGTCGTACGTGAATTTGCTGATGTCTCCGGAGGTTGTTTTTCTGAGTTATTTGTCCCCACACATGGCATTCCCCATTGGCATCTTCCCAGTGTCACTGAGTGAATGAGTTTCCACCTCAGCGGGTAACTGAATCCTTCCCTCAGTCCCCATGTTTCTCTGGTTTCTCTGTGGTGTGGGTGTTCTCGTGTCTATCCAGGTTGGACAATCAGGTGAATTCAAGTCCACGCAGGACCAAGGCGTGTTCTTCCCTGCTGTGAATGTGTTTTCATTCTTTCTTGTTCTCCCACGGGATGTGGGGAGCACTGGTCCGGACAGCATTTGTTGTTCATCCCAAATTCACCTTGAACTGATGTCAGAGGACAGTCTGGGGTCAACCATGTTGTTGTGGGCTTGGAGTCACTTGTATGCCAGACCAGGTAAGGACCTCCGTCCCAAGGGGACATGAAGGACTGGGATTTCAGGAAATGAAAGTCATGATTTTGTTCGTGAAATCAGATTTATATTCCAGATTTTATTCATTTGAGTGTAAACTCCAGCAGCTGACATTGTCAGTCCCGAGGGATTACTAGGAGATATATCACCACTACACTGCTATCTCCCCACTGTATTGCTTCATTGTAGAGAATAACTGTCACTGTTCAGATCATCCCAGAGTGACAGAGGACAGGAGAAGGTCATTCGGACCATCATGCCAGTGTTTGTTCCATTTAAGAAAGGATTGAGTGAAGGGGAAAAGTATCAGCTGGCGTGTGTTTGTAACATTTACAGTGTGTGTCCATGCTGGAATAAATGTGGTTTACTGCAGATCGAATTGTTAACTGGGAGCAAGAAGCTGATGCAGAGACAATGTGAGCAAAGCGAGCTTAAACACTACTACTCAGGTAACAGACATCAGTTTGTTGTGTAAATAGCAGGGATTGTTTGAATCCATGATCTCTGGGTTATAGGCCTGGCATACTCCCGCTGTGCCACTATGCTATTATCTATCATGCAACCCACAACTGAAATAGATTGTAACTTCCTTCTTGCTTTGGAATAGGAGCACACTTGGTGGCACGCCTTCCTGCTTGTACAATTCCAATGTGTCACGCCAACCAGAATGTGACAGACAGAAACAGACACACACACACACAAACACAAACAGCAACGTATCATGAACATACACACAATGTCAGACAAAGGGGTTGAGCAGTCCAGCAACTCATTCAGATGGACAGACTCATGATTTTTCTGAACTTTCGGTAAAGGCTAATCCAGCAATTACATCCCTCATTCTAAAAAATTCTGAAGAAGTGTCTCTGAACCGGAAACATGAACTCTGCTTTCGCTCCATAGATGCTGTCAGACTGAGTTTCTCCAGAAATCTCTGTTTTTGTTACACTCCTAATTTTTGTTTGTCTGTGGATGGTAACATTCCCCTGATCATGTACATTGACATTTAAATTCATCTGAAGGCTATCATTTGCCATTCTGTCTTTATTATCCTGTTCTCGCCCTTCTGCCTTCCAAAATCACAAAATCCTTTCTCTATGGCGACAAGCACATGAAAATTTGCCTGGTTCTGATGAAAAGGTCGTGGATATGGAATAAGAATTCTGTTTTAAAAGACACACAGACAAATATACAAACAATGAATTTAACAGGCGGGGGCAATCTGTCAGTTGACAGAGGAGTAATCTCTAATTTGATTGATAATTGAAACGTTTTCCCGGGACAGATCATGATCCAACAAAAGAAGCTAGTCTTTTTTAACAAATTCCATGCTGACTAACATTGCTCTGTACAGCCTGATGCCCCAATAATCCCTGCTCCATGTCAATAAA